TTTTATTCAACGTGCTATTGCTTGCTCAATGTTTGACGTAATTGGACTCGATCCTCCAGTAACATGGTTTATAATAACAGTTACACGTACGTTATTCGGATTACGCAGGCTGTCAAGTGATTATGCAAGACAGCTTAAATAAAACAAAATAATTAAGGGATACCTTATGCATAAAGCATACAAGTTTTAAAGTTAATGATTTACTGTTAAGAGTGTTTGTGTGTTTCCTTATAGCAAAGCCACACCGGACTATCTACTGTGTCCACCGTTATACTATTAAGATGTTCTTTGGAGAGTGGATGAACTTAAACTGATGATGACTTTTTGGTCTACTGAAATAATATTATAAATTAACCATAATAATGATATAAATATTTTATATTAAATATATTGTGGGTTTTAATGAAATAAAACCTAAAACGTTTGATGTGGACAAAGTGCCATCTCTAACAGACATGTAAACTAGTGGTTGTGGACAAATGTGTTTGAACCAATGAAACCAAGTGAACAGGTGTGCTTCAGTACACAGTATTACTTGTTATTGAATTCCATCTTGTTCCAGTTATCTTATAGTTTAACATTTAGTATCACAGTGGGTGTCATGTTGTCACAGTTGATATCTGATGCTGTAACATTTAGTATCACAGTGGGTGTCATGTTGTCACAGTTGATATCTGACGCAGTAACATTTAGTATCACAGTGGGTGTCATGTTGTCCCAGTTGATATCTGACGCAGTAACATTTAGTATCACAGTGGGTGTCATGTTGTCCCAGTTGATATCTGACGCAGTAACATTTAGTATCACAGTGGGTGTCATGTTGTCCCAGTTGATATCTGACGCAGTAACATTTAGTATCACAGTGGGTGTCATGTCGTTCCAGTTGATATCTGACGCTGTAACTTTTACCACAAATTATATTGTGTGCTATACCGTATAATTGACCAAGAAAAACTAGTTGTTAATTTTCACATTTCCTTTTCTCGTGTTTTGCTCATATCCTTCATTTTAAGTTTTATTCCAATTTGTTCTATTACCTTATTCTTTGGCACAATAAATTATTATACATAGATCGGTCTTACAGAATCTTGCATGTCTATTATGCTCCTGAATTCTGATTTTTGCTTGTCTTTTTGATTTTCTAATGTATTAGAATCTACATTCACAATGGCTGTATTAAATATTGTTTTTGCTCTCCATTCAGTCGTTAGAGGTTTGGTGTGTACATATTCTTAAGTTAGTTCTACTTTCAATAACTACCAGAGTGATTTGTCATTGTCTGTTTCCGTAACTTGCGTATGTCGTCGATGTTCAATTTGTCAATAAAAATACTTCTACATCATTTTTTCATGGTTAACCACGAAGCTTGCTTTATCAGTTACTCAACGGCTGTATAAACCCTATCATTCCTCCTGTTATTGTCGAGATAATGTGTTTATCATTTCATTAATTCTAATTATTTCACCATGACAAGTTAGACGTGTTAACCGGTTACACCACCCTAGTTATCTTAATGAGACAAGACAGTGGTTGTGTGTTTAGAACAAAAAACAAACAAACAGATAAACACGTAGGTTTGCCCAACTTTATTTTTCTTCCTACGTTACTTCAAAAAATATAGTTAACTGTACAGTTTTATATGTGTAACACAAAGAATGGATAAGTAGGTAGACCTGACTGACTGTGTAGTATCCCAAGAGATGACGCCACCAGCATCTTTCAGGATATTTTCGAATATTCGTACAAATCTACACAAAAGCTACCTTTGCTATCCACCCCTAATTTTGAACAGATAGACTAGAGAAAAGGAAGCTAGCCAACAGCACCCAGTTTCAACTCCTAGGCTTCTCTAATTACAAAAGTGGGATTTGACCGTTAATCCTATAACGCACCCACAGCCACAAAGTGCAGAGCGCGATATTCGGCAAAGAGACGCGAGCCATGGACCCTCGGAATCACAGGTCGGCACGCCAACCACTTGGCCACGCATGTACCTACACCTAAGAGAATTCGACGCTCTGTCCAATGAGGTGCCTAAGATCAACAAGTACTTTATCAGTTGATTTAAAGTATTAATAAGTGCATATATATATATACATTTATTAATACACACACACCCACAGATATATACATATATATATATATATGTATGTATGTGTGTGTGTGTGTATATATATCTATCTATAAACATGTATGGCTTTTGTCAAAGTGATAGTGTCACGCCAAGGGATATATTTGTACGTAGCTGTCCCCAGTTTTAAACCGATATATTAAAGTGAAGATAGTCAGTAAACAGCACCCATCGCCAACTCTCGGGTTAGGATTGTCTAATCAAATTGTTAAATTTGACAGTCACTCTTATAGCGTACCTATGGCCCCAAAGATCTAATAACGTGAGCATAGTTAGATAAACCGAGACAAACGCCCCTCGTTTCGCTGAGATTAATTCATGATTTTCTGTGGTATTTGTGTCTTGAGCTCTCGAGTAACACTGAAAGAAGAAACCCCAACCGTTAGGAGCCGCTGGTAAGTCATCTAATAAATCGAAACTGAGGAGTTCGCTTAATGAAACATTGTAAAGTTATCTTAGTTTCTTTGTAATTAAGATTGAGATGATTTTTTTTTGACAGTTATGTTCTTGACTTATAATGTAGATGGTATGACAGATTTATTAGAACAATATTCAACAATTCTGAGTTGAACTTGAGTTAACGAATTCCACAGTGTATCACGTAGCACCGAGATACTTGTGGTAAATGTCATGTTTACCTATCACTGTGTATCGTAAACGGCTTTTAATCAGGAATACAGAAAACATGTTCGGAGCCGTTTGCATGCCTAATTAAGAAAACCTTATTACTTATTTGTAGACGTGTCAAAAGTTGAAATGTTTCTTCAAAGCGCTTGGAAACCGGCGGTCCGCCCCCTGAGCCTAAACTCACGTACAGCTGACATGTATGGCACAGAAGTGAAACGTGACTTCACGGCTGTGTTTCCCTGCCTCAGGTATGTAGTAGCCTTGTGAGAACAGAAAGGAAGACAGGGACTAGAAATTATCTCCGATGAGGAAAATGTTTTTGTTTTTAGTTTATTAAAGTTTCTGGAATAGGTGTTAGCGGATTCTTTTTAGTTTGTGTACGTTATATAAGACATTGTAAGCTGTAACACACGTTAGTCATACATAATAATTATGTCTTACAACTGTGTCAGACTAGTGTAAAAAAAAAAACGCTTCAAAAATAGGTATGCTCATTCTTGCTCTTTTTATCATATTTTAAGGGAAATATGTGTCACAACAAAAAATATTAGTACAAATATATTAATATGAAATAATTTTTACTAATTTGAGTAACGCACTTTTGACAAGGTATATGTTTTCTAATCAAAAACTATGTTAGAAAATCACTATTTTTTCCTTATGCACAAGAACGTCCAAACTCAAAAGTTGAAACTTTAAGAAACTAAAAAGGAGGGGAGGAGTTAACTGGATTTTTCATTTGTTCAGTAGGATTCAGTTGTAGAGGGTGGACGTTAGACCTGGTTCTTCATAGTCATGTGCACATCCTCATGCAGGGTCACTGGAGTCCGAACCTATAATTAAAGAAAATAAACTAAAATTACTTGAAATGTAGTGCTTCAGGCTTCATGGGCTGGTGTCAGATTAGTGAAAAATTAATCGTTTTTTGTTTTGGTACTAATAACAGTTTTTCATTACTTTTCTTGCAAAACAACTACTAAACTTTACGTTTTGTTTTTACCACTTTCCTCACGTTATAAACATAAATTATTGTTTAAAAAGATATAATGTCAGTCGCTCGTGCTATTTTTCTTTTTCTGTGCTGCTGAAATGTTGTTGACAATGTAGACCAAGTTTAAAGAAAAAAACCATTAACCTTGGATAACCATCCAGTGGTCAATCAATGAGAATGAACCTGCTGTTAATCCTGTAATTTATTCTATTAGAAACATAAAAATTTAGAGTTTAAGCAGAGAAAAACTGGTAGCCAGTAAAAATACGTTGAACTCCCTATTCTAGGTTATAGAAATTAATGGATTGGTAATAAGGCAAAATAAGGCAAAAAAACGAAATAAAGACATTAATTATATCACTTCTCCAAAACCTGACAATGTCTGTTAGTTAATAATTGATTGTAATTGTTTTTATAAACAAGTCACAGGGACAGTTTTGCTGACGTGATAAGTCAAGCTTTCAATGGCTCACATCTCTGACAAGAAATATGATCGCAGGGACAGTTTTGATGACGTTACAAGGTATGGTACAACTATTCAAACTTTTTATGAGCCAATCATTCATTTGGACTTCTTTGCTTTTTTTTATAAACAGCTAAATACTGTTACTTTATTATGCAACTGTTTATCCATGAAAACCGATACGTATAATAAGTTCAGTTTTAATGGATTAGACAATGTTAATCTGTTCTCGAATTGTGGCCTTCAATTTATACAGGTAATCCTGTTAAAGCGTAGGAAGCGACGAGAAGTTTGCAATAGATAGGGTTTGTCAATGCACAAGGTCACCCACTGTATTTGTCTGCTCAAGTCATAAATAAAAGTGGGGCCATCTCGGTCTTCAACGTCTCTCAAAGGTTATGTTCATAATGAGAGACAAATGAATAGTGGCTGTCATATATCATTTGGCTCTTATTTCGTAACATCTTAAAAAGTAACAGACATATATAAAATTGCAATATACACACAGACATTACAAAAATCCTTACTTTGTGCGTTAGGCCTAAGACATGATATCTTATGCGTGTGTTGTACCGTATAATCTACGAATGACCTTAACAGTGGAGTCAGTGATCAATTGACCAAGTGGTTAGCGAGCTCGACTTGCAATCTGTGGGTCTCGGGTTCGAATCCACGTTCCACCAAACATGCTCGCCCTTTCAGCCGCGGAGGCATTATAATGTGGCGGTCAATCCCACTATTCGTTGGTAAAAGAGTAGCCCAAGAGTTAGCGGTGGTGGTGATGACTAACTGCCTCCCCTCTAGTCTTACACAGTTAAATTAGGGACCGCTAGCACAGATAGCCCTCATGTAGGTTTGCGCGAAATTCAAAAACAAACAAACAAACAAATCATCTTTTTTAGTTACGCCACTGAACTCTATTTCCATATATTCTCCCCACAATGATGTATTTTCGAAGGCTACGCATGTGATGCATCCCAAGGGAATCCCTAGTCGTGTGACTACCTGATAAAGCTAGGATAATTTGCTTTCACAGATATTTTGGGATCTATACTTGGGCTTCTTCTCCATTCACTGAATTACTTATGCAACCCTATATGACTGTTTAGCAAATATAAACTTGAAAAATAACAGTATAAGCTATGCTTTCACTTGTAAAAGTGGTTTCCCTTTCTATCATGCCCCAAGATTTATCAAGAGGTCTCCCTCTCTAGCATGCCCCAAGATTTATAAAGAGGTTCCCTCTCTATCATGCCCCAAGATTTATCCCAAACAAGTTTTGAATAGTAGCTGTCTGTAAAGTGTGCACTGCACGTCCGTATATCAAGATTAATAGATAACGTAACTGACAGCAGTGGGCCTCAAAATGTCACACAAGTGGTTTTCGAGTGCTACTAATAGATCAATTAACATGACGTCACAAATCAAAGGATTCTACCGCTAAATCATAAACAGCCCGATTTAGTGGCTTTGAAACTATGTAGCAAACACAGCAACATTATAACAAGATTATTATCATAAAACAACTTCTTCCGCACAGGGAATAAAACTCTGCTACCGCCAGGAGTATACAAGTTTGAAATTGTGGTACGTAATAAAAAGTACCATGTTATTCCAATGTTTTCACAGACGCAATATGTGATGAACACGGTGTTTAATTACTCTTTCTGTTGCACTTCTTTTTCGAAGCGAAAAAGCGGGAAATTAACTTTTTAATTTAATTATCATAAACCGTAAATTGAAAGCGAAGCAGTGAGCTTGCGTGTGATATGAGGCCTCTGCGAGATAAGGTTCGTTGACGTATTTTCGTTTTAAAGAAACGCTTTACTGCGAAAGATATTCAAGGAAGTTCGAAAAGCCTGTACGAACAGGGATCTAAAGTTATCTTTACTGATGAAACTTTCTTCATCAAAATTGGACAAAGTGTCACTCTACTAGTAATCGAGTTGCGAGGAAAATTAAGAAGTAAAAACCCATAGAAGGCATTTAGAAACGTTGAAACAATTAGCGAAGCTTTAGCCTTATATGAAGGATAGATAATTACGTTGCGTAGGCATTAGGCGTTCAAAGTTTCTAACAGAAGACCCACCTTCGACCTTCCCAGGAAGTAACCAATTACAAGATTAAATGACTGTTAATTTCTTTAATGAGTTTTAAGGAAAAAAACGGTACTTTCGAAAAACTTTTAAGTTTTGTTAATTAATGAGGATGACAAATGAGTGGTGTTCTGCATGAATTTCATCAAACAGTCTTGAAAACAAAGTTTCCATAATGTTAGAATATTTAACACAGGAAAAAATAAGTGTTATACAAAGTGAAAACAAAGATATCATTTAACACAGAGAAATTAAACGTCGAACTAAATTTTTGTTGTAAGTGAAAACAAAGATATCATTCAACACAGAAATTAAACATCGAACTAAATTTTTGTTGTAAGTGAAAACAATGATATCATTCCACATTGAAATTAAACGTCAAACTAAATTTTTGTTGTAAGTGAAAACAAGGATATCATTTAACACAGAGAAATTAAACGTTGAACTACATTTTTTGTTGTAAGTGAAAAAAAAAGATATCATTCAACACAGAAATTAAACGTCGAACTACATTTTTGTTGTAAGTGAAAACAATGATATCATTCAACACAGAAATTAAACATCGAACTAAATTTTTGTTGTAAGTGAAAACAATGATATCATTCAACACAGAAATTAAACGTCGAACTAAATTTTTGTTGTAAGTGAAAACAATGATATCATTCAACACAGAAATTAAACGTCGAACTACATGTTTGTTGTAAGTGAAAAAATGATATCATTCAACACAGAAATTAAACGTCGAACTAAATTTTTGTTGTAAGTGAAAACAATGATATCGTTCCACATTGAAATTAAACGTTGAACTACATTTTTGTTGTAAGTGAAAACAAGGATATCATTTAACACAGAGAAGTTAAACATTGAACTAGTTAGTTAGCTATATTAAATAGAAATTATCAAGTCATCAGAGAAAGTTTGTGTCAAATAGAAGAAATAAGAAAATATAAGAGCATCAAATCTAATGTTTTTGACATAGAACTATAATTCTGTATACACTCCAGAAACAAATATTTACATCTGTTTTTAAACCAAATTTATTTTAGTTTTTCATTAATTTTCGAAATTCTTTTGATTGGAATGGCCATTCTTATAAAATGGTCTCGCTTCAAGTTTAAAATGACTACTAATTATTTTTTACAAATTGCATTAAATTATTTTCACTTACATCAAATATGTAGTTCAACGTTTAATTTCTCTGTGTTAAATGATATCCTTGTTTTCACTTACAACAAAAATGGGGTGACACTAACTCTTTTGTGTCACCTTCTGTCAAATTTTACTTTTTTATCAATTGGGCATTTTAGGCTAAACAAAAGCCCCTACTTACAATCGAAACACTAACTGAAAAATCATTTCCGATATTGTAGCAACATACAGAGCGACAATATTACATATCCTGTTATTACTCCTGTTATTGGAAAGATGCATATCAAGGATTATGATCGGAAGTCAGAACAGTCCAAATGGCATCACTCTGGTTTTCGTGTCCACTATGACATGCATTTTTAGTTGTTTATATCCAGCATTTGCCTTCAGTAATCTGAAACCTATTTCATGTAATCTGACGGTACAGAAAGTATCTTCAGCCTGGAATTCTATAACTATTGAAGTTTCATTCACTCACCATTTAACACAGACTCGCTTCACAGTTAGTTATACCGTAACGTTTTACTCGTAAAATAAAATGCATTGAGCTCCTTAGTTTTGAAGGGGGTTACAGTATAGTCTATGATGGATCATAACACCCAAGTAGTGTCGTCAACGTTAAACTACAGTACTGACCCATCAGGCAGAATCCAACGCTTATGTAAACCTGATGAGGCCTGCCGAAGCGAGAGAATGCGCTAAAAGGTTTAATTATTTCGGTTCATTACTTGTGGGGCCCGGCATGGCCAGGTGGTTAGGGCGCTCGACTCGCAATCTGTGGGTCGCGGGTTCGAATACCCGTCACACCAAACATGCTCGCCCTTTCAGCCGATGGGGGCGTCATAATGTGACTGTCAATCCCACTATTCGTTGGTAAAAGAGTGGCCAAAGAGTTGGCGGTGGGTGGTGATGATAAACCACTTACACTTCTAAATTAGGGACGGCTAGCGCAGATAGCCCTCGTGTAGCTTTGCGCGAAATCCAAAGAACAAACAACTAAAAAAAACAAACATTCTTTGTGGAGTAGCCAATTTTCAAGGAATGTTACTACTCATCGTCAGTAACCTGGAGTTTGGCCGCAGCAAAACACGTTGATCAAATCGTGTATAAAATAGCCTTGTTATTTTCTATTAG